TTTATATATATATATTTTCTAAAAAATTCAAAAAAAAAAAAAAACTAATGTAATCCATCACAGTACCTCTAAATCAGAGGGATTGAAAACAAAAGGAAGGGAGGGGGCTTCATCTCCCTCCGTCTCCCTCTCTTTCCGTTAAAATTGTTAAACCAAACAAGAGAAGGACGGCTCTCTCCCTCATTCCCCTTCCCTTCCCCTCCCACTTTCCCAATCCAAACAGATTGTAGGTTTTCAGATGATATTTTTTAACTAAAGGAGAGACAGTCATCTCATATACCAGCTATTCACAAGAGGAAGCATATTCAAACGAATGTATTAATCACTGAGACAAATCATCGAACGCCTTACATGCGTCTATGGACAAGAATGAACTAAGAATTCTTAAAGACTGAAACACAGCATCAGATAATTAATGAGCATTTCTACGCACAAAAATCCCATAAACAGCACAAAAGAATTATGCAAAGAAATCTAAAGACAGAAACAGATCATCGAACACCTTTTGGACATCTATATGCAAACCCCACAAAGTGATTAAAGAAATGAAACAAATTAAAACATCAAAACACCTTCTGTACTGAAAATTGTCAACATACCGGAAATTCTAAGCTGAATCTGAAGAGGAGATCTTCATCAGCAACTGCATCTGTTTGATTTAGTTTGTAGACACAAATGCGAGTGCAGCCTTGGATACTTGAGCAACTTGGGTAAACTCAAAGGACAAAAAGACTGTCATCGGCGTGGGTGTGGAATAAATTGGGACCCTAGAATACAGCGTTGTATACAAGTAACAGCGGAAACGAGAACACTGTATATAATTAAGTAAAACATGTTGCCGTAGAAGAGTTATCCGTATTATTAGAAATAGATTTAGAGTTTAATTTTTAGTTTATTTATCAAAATAAATGAAATAATTATATAATAAATATATATAATATTATATAAAATAAAAAAAGTGAATACAATTGAATGAAATTAATATATTACAATTATAAATTTATAATATCAATTAAAAATATTCTTCCAATACGGCAATGCCTAATAAACAATATGCAAGTGAAAGCTTAAACTGAAGGCAAAAACAAAAGTCCTCTGTTCTAATTCTAATTAAAAAAGTGGGGAGGATTTAGGATGGGTTGACGAAGACTTGTAATTTGTAAGTATATTTACTTTATTATTATAGAAAAAAAGGCAACAGAAGTCCCATGACTTTTTCATTGATGCAGAGAAGGCCTTATGATTTTTCGCTTACAAATTGCGCGTCCATTTTTAATACACTATGAAATACGCCCAAAGTAAACGGTCTGTGCTACACTTGTCCATCCATGTCAAGATGAAAATGGGGTGGATAGCGACGGGAAGGGTTATGGTGCCCTCATCAATCATCCCCCTTTAACTCTAAGAGAATATTTGATTTGAACAAAATAGAGAGATAGAGAGAGAATGGAAAATATATAAAAAGATTTCATACTTTATTTGGTTAAATTAAAAGAATTAAAAAAAAATAAAAAAAATTAAAAGTAAGAGCAAGGGAAAGGAAGCTCATCTCTTACCTAATTTTCAATTTTTTTTTAATTAAATAGAGGAATCATTTGCACTTAGGTTAGTGGTTCGATAGTTTTAAATTTTTTTGAAAGTGCATCCTCTCAATTCTTAGGGTGGAGATCGAACCTCACCCCCTCATTTGTATTTCGTTCAAAAAAAAAAAAAATAGAGGAAGCATTCTTCTTCCCCTATTCTAAATTTTTTTCAAATTAAATTTATCTAAGTTTGAATTAAAAGAAATGATGAGAAAAGAATTATTTTATTTAGTAATTAAAAAATAAAGAAAAGTTAGAGAGAATTTTCTTCAAAGTTTGCAATTATATAAAGATTTTAAAAAATGTACTAGTTAGAGTAATCATTGTACTTCCATCAATAATAATAACTCGGTAGGATCATTGGATGTTGAGGCGCCCAATACGAGGGTCTACTTTACATTTACAGCATCATTTAGGCAAAAGGTACCATTTTGCCCCTGAACTTTTCGACTCTTAGGGTTTTTGCCCTCCATATTACAATACATGGATTTTTACCCTCAATGTTTTTGAGTTTGAGGAAATGAGGCAAAATTTAATGCCGGAGCTCACGTGTAGCACATGCACCGTTGGCCTCTGTCAAGTATGCGCATGTCAGTGCCAACTCAGAATTTTTTGACAACCTGGCATGCCAACTTGGAACCCCACGAGCGGGAAGTTTACCTGCTGCCAATTTTTTTATGGATCCCACTGCTGACTAAAGGTTTGAAAAAAAAAAGGAAAAAGATAGATGAATGCCAGGAAACCGTTTGACTCCGACCATTGTGTCGAGAACAAAGAAAAGCTTTTATTAACCCCACAACCCAGAAAAGGACCACAGAAGGAAACAACTTTACTCCACCCACCAATCGAACGAATCTCCATTGAAGGAATAGAATAGAACATTCGAAACATTCGAAAGGGACCACAAAGCACAGACGATTCTGACACTGTTCTTGGTGCCAGTGACAGGTATTTTTCCTTTTATTCTAACAAAATCTTGTTTAACTTTTATTGATATTTAGCATACGGGTCATGGATTTGTGTTAGAAGTGATTTTTAATTAAGATTTATGGTTTATTTAGGATTAAAACAAATTTAAGCACTGTTCGTCACTTTTTAGGGATTTAGGGTTCATTTAATTTATTTAGTAATTAAACTGGAAAGTTATACTTTTCTGTTTTCTTTTACTTTTTCTGTTAGTGTTGAATTCAATTTCAATCATGATTGTACAAGTATTGAAGAAATTTTAGTTTAGTTTAGGATTTATGCTATTACTGTAAATTAGTTATTTCTAAATTTATAAATTTGTAATCAATAACTGGATTTATAGATTTAATGCTTAAATGTGTGTTAATTTATATTAATTTATATCTTTTTCTTCCTATATGACAGCAATGGGGACATTAAGAATTCACCATAGTGGCACTTTTTGCATGAGTAGTAGTACGGATCTTAGGTATGCTGCAGGCGAAGTACATGATGAGGAGATTGAATATCATCGTGTGACTTTGTCGTACTTAGAGGAGAGGGTAAAAAGCCTCGGGTATATGCATTTTAAGGACATATATTACAAAGATCCTTATGTGGAAAAATTTGGTGAAGCAATAAAGGTTATAAATAGTAAGCAGGAGCTTATTCACATGCGGTACCTTTTAAATGAAAGGGGAATTATAGATGTGTATGTTGAGCATGTCTGTGATGAACCAGATATTTTAGATTTGCTTGAAGGTGGCACTGTTCTGCAAGAACCAGTTGATGAAGGTACAATGGACATTGGGGAAGGCTGTGTGACACAAAATTCACAACCAGCCCCAAATGGTCATGAAGCTCCAGAAACAGCAGCTGAAGGTGATGCTGATGAAACAGATGCACTGCATGAAGGTGATGCAGCCCAACAAGAAGATCTACAGAACAATGATCATGATGATGAGGAGTTGCCTGATATTGTGCATAATGATGCAGATGATGAGGATAATGGGGAAGGCTGTGTGACACAAAATTCACAACCAGCCCCAAATGTTCATGAAGCTCCAGAAACAGCAGCTAAAGGTGATGCTGATGAAACAGATGCACTGCATGGAGGTGATGCAGCCCAACAAGAAGATCTACAGAACAATGATCCTGATGATGAGGATTTGCTTGATATTGTGCCTAGTGATGCAGATGATGAGGAGGTGCTTGAATCTATTCGCAATAAAAAGAAACATAAAGCCAGTGCAAGTGCAAGAAAAAATGCAGATGGTGCTGGACCAAGCGGCACAGTCCATGACTCCCCTACCTCAGTTAATGAAGAGGGTGAAAGGGTTCCAATAAGAACTAATGACCATGGAGATTTGGGTTCTAATTCTAGCTTTGAAAATAGTGAAGATGAATTTGAGGTTTCTAGTGATGATTCAGGTGAGTACAATGTTGCAGATGAACATGAACTTGAAGAAAAAGAAGAAGAAGATGTAAGAACTACTAGAAGTAGTGAGTTATGGTTTAATCCTTCATGGACTACTGTTTGGTTTGAGGTAGGGATGAGGTTTGAGCATGTAGCACAGTTTAAGGAGGCTATAGCTAAATACCAAATTCAAAAAGGCTGTAAGTTGAAACCTGTTAAAAGTGACCCCACCAGGCAGAGAATTCACTGTGTTGGTCAACAGTGCAATTGGAGTATCTTGCCAGTTTTGATAAAAATGACAAGACTTTTAAGGTGAAGACATATTGCAGGGAACACACTTGCTTTCGGAGTTTGAAGTCCAATATGGTTGGGTCGAGGGTACTTGCAGAACACCATAGGAACAGAATTGTTGCAAATCCGCATATCAGAATCAGTGAGATAGTGAGATTGTCTCATTTAGAATTAGGAGTTCATGTTTCAAGGGATAAGTGTAAACTAGCAAAGGAAAGGATTATGAAGGAGTTGAAGGAAACTCAGACGAAGGAATTTGCTCAGTTAAGAGGGTATGCAGAAGAGCTGTTGAGATTGTCCCCTCAGTCAAATGTTCAAATTGACAGTGAGCCACCCACAACTCCAGAGGGAAAACCTATGTTTAAAGGAATCTATGTGTGTCTAGAAGGATGTAGGAAGGGTTTTCTACTAGGCTGTAGACCAGTAATTGGAGTTGATGCCTGTTTCCTCAAGGGGATGTTCAAAGGAACTCTTTTGGCAGCTGTTGCAAGGGATGGGAACAATCAAATGTTCCCAATAGCTTGGGCTGTTGTTGACTCAGAGTCTACCAGCTCATGGAGGTTTTTTTTTAGATGCCTAGCTGATGATCTATCAAATCACACTGGGCGAGATTTAACGTTCATTTCGGACCAACATCCTATAAGTCTGCACAATCTATTATGAATTAATTTATATTATCAATATCTTTATGTTACTATAATCATCAATGCTATTTATTGTATAATTCAATTGACTTTATTA